TGTGTGTGTGTGTGTGTGTGTGTGTGTGTGTGTGTGTGTGTGTGTGTAGGATGCTGAGACTGGGTGTTCTTCTCCCCCCAGATGAGCCCTCTCAACAGAGCATGCTTGCTCATTTTCTTCATTTTCATTTTCGAAAGGAAGTGGAAATCAGGATGAAGCAATTCAACTACCACTGCAAAATTCACAGGGTTATAAATAGCCTCTCTCACTCTTTCACTTAGCAGTAGTGCAGAGTTCAGGAGAAATTGGCCAGGGATAGCTGAGCTGTGTCTCTCAGTCCAGCCCCAGGGGGACAAAGAAGTAATTTGCCCATTCTGAATAAAATGACTCTTCTCCACCCTTTTCACATTGGATATAAAAGAAAATCTTTGAAAACTCAAATCACAAGCAAATTGGGAAAGAAGCCCTCTGACATGCACTCATCCAATGAAGATAATTTGGCTACGTATTAGGAAGAACTAAAACTCAGGTTTCAAAGACAAAGCCACAGTAAGGAGAACGGGCATCATTGAGTGTCTCAAATGCAGCATTCTTTAAGTAGATTTTGAAAGATGTGCTTATAGACTCATCATTGTTACAAAAACTCCTTGACACTTTTATACATCACATAAATGTGGTGATTGCTCCACAGGACTGGATTATGATGGTGCTGCTACATAGCACATCTTAAGAAAGGAAGTGAAAAATGACTGTCCCATTACCAAGGAATTAGGGGACAAGAGGGAGGCACCATAAAGGTGAACCCCCTATTCCTTTAATGAAAAGGTTCTAACATTCTTTACTGATACTGTTGAGGGAAGACTGGTTCTATATCTTACCAGGTGACTGCAATAGTGTAGTGGAAAGCACTTGGAGGACGTTCAAATTCTATTTCCACCACTACCTTGCTGTGTGACCTCAAATTAAATTACTTCACTTTGCTAGGACTCAGTTTCCCATCTCTAAAATGAGGGGCTAGACTAAATAAGGGGCTTAAAGTCCCCTTTGAGTTCTGCCATTTTGTATTCTAATATTCTTCCTTTCATTCTAATCTTCTGTATTCTAAGTTCCCTTCCATCTCTGTCATTACATGATTCTAGGAGACGTAACACCAGAAGAGAAACTTGAGAGCACACCCATTACTTAATCAGCAATACTATCTCTAATACCTCTGGCTTTCCCCAGAAATCGCTCCATCTGAGCACTGACTCAGCTTCTACCACTCAGACCACAATGTGCCTGTTAGTATAGAGTAGAGTAGGATCTGATTAAGCAACAGATTGAGGTTCTGACATTCATTGCTGGAAGCATCAGCAGATACCCCAACACAAGCAAGAAGCAACTCAGGTATCTGTCACTACTTAGCCAAAATCTGTCAGAAGTAGAAACACACCCCAAAAGTGGGCTCACAAACCACAACTAAAAACAGATGGACAAAGTAGAGGGTGGGTGGAGGGGAGAAGCTGGTAACAAAAGTTGGTAGGAGTTCTCTTAGCCAACCCTGACTTTGAGCCCACTTCTCTTCTTCCATACCTGTATTGGACCCCACAGCTGACAAACAGAAAATTAGAATTTGACCCTGTCTTTAGGAAAAAACAAAAACATCACTGGCTGAGACAGCTGTATATAGATAATGCCTAGAACTTCCCAGATCCTTAACCAAGAATACTAGCAAACTGGTTCCTTGTTAGTAGTAGAGTTAGCAGAGGTCTGCCCATAGAACCACTTCCTTCAGTACTTGGGGCTGCCAAGAAGGAAAAGAAAACAGAATATAGGGTGAAAAGTGTAGCTGGAGCTTTAGAACAATTCCCCTTTAAAAGGCTAATAGAACTGTGCAAGAAGTCCAAGATGCTCAGGCAGGACCATGCACATGCAGGCAGTGAGGTGTAGGGAAAAGAGCCTTAGGCTGAGAATCAAGAAGACTGCCATTACTTAGTAGCATAGTAAGATGACAGTAGGTATCATGAGACTTAGGCCATAATCCCTAAGCTATATGCCACCGACCAGCTATATGACCTTGGATAAGTCCCTTCTCTCTGAGCCTCCACTTTCCCATATGTAAAATGAGGGAGTTGATTCAAAGGCAAATAAACCTCAGTTTCCTCAGCTGTAAAGTACCCCACCTAATAATTCACATTTCGAGAGCACTTTAAGGCTTACTTGGCAATTTCCTCACAAGTATGTAGTTATTAGTTTCTCCATTTTACAGATGACTAAATTAAGGTTGAGAGAGGTTAAGTATCTTGTCCAGAGTCACACAGCTAATAAGTATCAGAGCCAGCATTTGAACACAAATCTCCTGAGTTCAAATTCATCGCTCTCTTTACTACGCTGCTGCCTGCCAGGGATGTAGTTAAAACAGAAGGAGACAACAGAGATAAAAGGGATTTGGAAAGTAAAATAAGAAACAAAAGCAAAAGACCCACTATAAGAATGCAAGGTGGTATCATCATTATTCCTTTTCTGAAGAACTTTTCTAAGCCTGAGTCAGGTCCAGAGCTGCCTTAGGAGTTCGCATCTGCTCTTCAGCATTTGCTGCTCTAAAACCAAACTGGCACTTACTGTCTGCACCACCCACTATTCACTTAATCATACTGAATACTGCTTTATAATGTCATCTGCTTCAAATGTGTATTGAATTCCAACAAAACTGAGTTCCCTGAGGATGAGTAGTGTCCTATAGGTCTGTATTTCCATTCTTTTCTATATTCTCGCACCACCCCCAGGTCAGTGTCCAAGCATGTAGTAAGTGTTCTGTAAATTCTTGTTGATTTGAAGCAAACCCATGAACAGAACCCAGAGTGTATCTAGACACCAACCTTAGACACAATAGATACTATGCTAAGCTCAGAATTAGATATCCTGGGCTCAAATCTTGGTTTTGATTTGGGCAAGTCATTTCTTTTCTCTGGGCCTCAGTTTCCTCATCTGCAAAATAAAAAGTCTGGTTCAAAAGATTATAGATTTAAAATTGGAAATAACCACGTAGCTTAACTAATTCAATCCTCTCATTTTGGATATGAGGAAACGACCTCAAGAGGTTAAATAGCTCATCCAAAAACACATTAGGTAGTACGCTGGATTAAAACCCAAGTCTTCTGACTTTACTGCACAACTTCCCTAGGTGAACTATGACCTCCAGGTTTCCCCCCAGCTCAAAAGCCTATGATCCCATGACCACTAGATGTTTTAGGCAGAGTAACAACTCAAACCAATGCCTGGGCTTGCTTCAACTGTTCTTACACAAGGTTGACACATAAGACCTGCCACCAATCAAGGATGGTTTTTGGGCTAAATGGCTAACAAAGTATCTTGTATAATCTTCTTCAACATCATTCCCTGGGTGTCCTTGTCCTGTGCATGTCTCCAATATTCAAGATGGATGGAAGGAGGGTTGGAGAAGCAGTACCAAGTCCTAGACAGACACATCAGATCTTAACTCTTACAAGTTAAGTCATGTGTATCAATCACATGATGCTGTGTTCAAGAAGTTCTGACTTACCACTATCACCTTCAAAGCCCCAGCATACCTCATTATGAATGAGGTTAGAAGATACACAACACTGACACAATAGTCCCTAAATCTACGAATGGGCTTCTGACACCCTGACCCATAAGCATAGGTTCAAATCCCAAGACAGTTTCATAATTTGGGCATGTGATGGAGATTAGTGAGTACTACTCTGTCACTTATTACCTACCACGACCTTGGGTAAATCATTCAACTTCTCCAGAGTTCATTAATCAATCAACAAGCATCAGTTGAGCGCTTATCTGCTAAACCCTGCACTAAATGCTAGGGACAGGAAAACAAAAAAGTAAAGACAGCTCCTGCCCTCACAGAGCTAGATGATCCCTAAAGTCCTTCCAGATGCATGATCCCATGAACCTTGGAGTCTTAAAACTTTCATGTTCTAATATGACTACTCAGGGTTCTGTGCTTTCTATATCCCTTCCAAATCTCTCTCCTACTCAGCCACCTTTCCCTCCATTCTCCCTCATTCCCAACCACCTATTTCCCCCAATTTCACTCCTCCCCAGTTATTCATTCTTCCCATCTCCCCCCTTTCCTGACATCCTTTCCCCTATTCTCTCCCCTCCCCAGATATCCCTTCCTCCATTCTTCCCCCTTTCCAGAAAGCCTTCCCTCCCATTGCCCCCCCAGAGATCGTCCCCCCCATTCTCCCTCCTCCCCAGACATCCTTTCTCCCATTTTTCTCCCTCCCTAGGCATCTCTTCCTTCATTCTCCCCCCACCTCAGAGATCCTTTCCCCCCATTACCCCCTGTCCAGACATCCTTTCTCTGCCATTCTCCCTCCTCCCCATACATTCTTTACCACATTCTCCCCCAAGACATCCCCTTCCCTTATTGCCCCTCTCCCCAGGTATCCTTTCCCTAATTCTTCCCCCTCCCCAGGTATCCTGTCTTCCATTCTCCCCCCTCCCCAGATATCGTTTCTCCCCATTGTCCCCCTCTCCAGACAGCGTTCCTCCCATTCCTCCCCCTCCCTAGACATCTTTTACTCCCATTGCCCGCGTCCCCAAACACCCTTTACCCCCAAAGCCCCCTCCCCAGGCATTCTTTACCCCCCTCCCCCTCCCCTCTCCACTCCACCCCCGCTCCTCGCGCCCCCTCCTCCAATCCCCTCCCCCCAGCTCCCTAAGACCCCTCCCCTCCCGCGCCCCGCTCCCACAGCCCCTCCAGCCCAGGCCCTCGGGGCGCCCTCGCCCCGTAGCCCTCGCCTCCTCCTCCCTCGCACCCCCAGGGGGACCCAGTCGGGACCTTCATCCTCTCCAGCCCCAGAGCCGGCTCCAGCCCTGGCCCTGCCGACTATTACTCACCCCGGCCCACAGCTTGGGCCCTGCCGTCGCGCCCAGGGCTCTGCCGCTGCCGCTCAGCCAGGCGGACTCCCTGGCCCAGCCTTGTGCGGCCCCGCCTCCGTGAAGGCTGACCCGCGCTCCCATTGCTCCGCGGCCGTCACCCTCTCCTTCTATTGGGCTATCCGATTGTCAATCAGGAGGAGGGTGGAGCTGTTACCCGGCTGGCGGGGAAGCCTGGGACACTGCTGGAGGACCCCGCCCATTAGAGCTAGAATTTAAAGGGACCTGACACTTTTTTTTTTTTTGTCTTGGCCCTGGACCCTAAGGACTTCTGTCTTTGCAGGAAGGAGGGGCCACAGCTTGACTTTTTAACTTGCTGGGACTAGGACTGGAATTGTGAAGAGAACCGCCCCCCTAGATTTTTGTGACACTTTCTAGGTTGTGAAGATGGAGACCTCTTTTTCCTGTATGAATGCACAGTAGAGCACAAGAGTACACAACCAAATAGCCCACAGCAACAATAGCAATAATAGTATTGAGGGGACCTGAGAGTGGGAAGTGACAGCCTGTGTCAAAGTCTCATTGTTCCCTACCATAATCGCACTAATAATACCCATAGCCCAGAGCTGACCGTGGGCGAAAAGCAGTCACTGACTGAGGGATGCAGCTGGGCTGGTGATGCTCGAGGAGGTGTGGGAGGCTGCTACTGTCACAGGAACTTCTAAGGGAGTGAGCCCAGAACTAGGCTCGGCCATTCACTCAACATGTGACCGTGGCTGTGTCATTTCCCCTCCCTGGGCCTCCTCTAGAAAATTAGGACTTTCACATTAAATTACTGTTGAATTCCCTTCCAATTCTGACATTCTCTTTCTATATTCTGTGTTCTAAGTCCCCTTCCAGCTCTGACAATTTATGACTACATATTGAATCTTAATTCCCACAATTTCCCAACATACCCCCTCAGTCTTAGAGAAGCCCATTTCATAGAAACCCTCCTCCACATTTTCCAAATATTTGTCACATCCTAGCCTGTGGAGTCAGTACTGGGATCTTCTTCAAAGTCATCTATTTTTGGTCACGGTTATCTACAATTAGCAATTAAAAGAACGGCTTTATACACTTCAAATACAAGAACAAGGTTATGCTAAGAAAAGACAGAAGAATAGATTGCCTACTCCCTTAAGAAGTCTTCCCTGCAGTGGATAGAGCACTGGCCCTGAAGTCAGGAGGACCTGAGTTCAAATCCGGCCTCAGACCAAACACTTGACATGTACTAGCTGTGTGACCTTGGGCAAGTCACTTAACCCCGATTGCCTCATTAAAAAAAAAAAAAAGAAGTCTTCCCTGTCCCAAACAGAAAGGGACACGAGAAGAAAAATAATGAAAATAACTGGCAGAAAAATGGTGAATGAATGAATAGAGCCTTTGTTCAGTGCACAAAGCACTGAATACCAATAGAAAAGTAAAACAGGCCCTGCCTTCAGTGAGTTTATATTCTAATGGGAGAGACAACACAAATGGAGGTCTCAGCTGTAAGTCAGATGGAAAGTTCCCATGGTCCTTAGGGTGCAGTAGCAAATCAGGGGGAAATACCTTTTCTTAAATATCATTTCTGCTGGTAAAAGCATATCAGTTTCTGATATTGAACCATTTAACATTGTCAAGGACTTTGGTGGAAAGAACATTACTTTTTCGGTCTTCAGTATTTGTGCTAAAGCACCTGCAGGAGCAGTTTCTAGGATGCATCTCAGTAGAGGTTCCTTCCCATGATGATGGCTGGCCTGTAAGTACAACTGGTGGGTTTGGGAGTTGCTGCCCCTCCTGCCTGTTGGTGATAGTTGGTCAGTGGCTGCTCTTGATGGTGATGAGAAAGGTAGGCTCTTTCTCCACAATGACAGAAAGTCAAGAGCAAAGTCATAATATATATAAGGATATATATGTATATATATATTATAGTGTGTCTCTATATATGGCTATATATATACACACACACACATATATATAAGGATATAAGGCTTTGTCAATAACTTATTTCAAGGTATTGACATTAATAGTGTGTTTAGAAAAGCACAGAGATACCTCCACCAAATAATGAAGAGTGAAATGAGCAGAATCAAGAGAACATTATATACAGTAACAGTAATATTGGTTTAAGAACAACTTTGAGCAACCAAGTCATTCTGACTATTATAAATGCCCAAATTAACCTCGAAGATCCTATGAAGGAAGATGCTGTTTAAATCCAGAAAGGAATATTGTTGTAGGGCAGGAAATGATGAGCTGATTGATTTAGAAAAGTATGGAAAGACTTAGACTTATGAAGGAAGATGCTATCTATTGTCAGAGAAACAGATGAGAAGAGCATAGTATAGTCTTACATATATGTTTATGAATGTATTTGTGTATGTATGTCTATGTTTTTAGATATCTATGTATATGTATATATATCCAAGCTGAATTGTAGCCTTCTTTAGGGTGGGAGGAGGAGGGAGGGGAAAAAAATAGAGTAAAAAGTGCATAGCAGAGAACAACAGAAAACCAACAAGGAAGCAAAGAAAAGCTGCATAGCTTTGAAAACAATGTGAAGTATTTATTACATAGGTTTTCTTGAAATGGAAATTTATTGCTTTATATTAAATCCTCTCTTATGGTCTGCTATGTACATGGCAATGTTTTTTTTTTTTCTTTTCTCATTTTGTATTTAAGTGTAAAATAAAAAAAAATTATGGAAAAAAAAGGAAATTAATAGGGTACTGATAGCTTCTATATTCCCAGCAGGAAGAAACAGCTGGGATTAGTACCTGGTGAGCAAGAATCATTACTTAAAATAGAAAACTACTAGTGTGTGCTCCTTTCTCCACGACCTTCCTGGCCAACCTGGTCCTGGACTGCTCCCTTTCCTTTCGGTGACTCTGGTCAGGTTATACTCTGGATTCTGCCCCTGACATTCCATGTGAACTGAGGCATGTTATTTCAGCTCTCTCAGCCTTTGTTTCATCTGTAAAATGAAGGAGTGTAATAGATGACCCCAAAATTCCATGATTCTATAGCAACTGACTTATTAGGAAAATTGTGTATTGCACACTTCCCTCCTTTCTTTGCAGAGGTGAGGGATAGGAGGGTACTATGGTATGGAACATTGCGTATTCTTTCAGACTACTAGGTTTATGTTTTGGTCAGTTTAGCTGAATTACTTTTTTCTTTTTTTGGTACAGGGGATGCCTTAGGGGGGAAGAGGGAAGGATACATTCAGAAATGATAGTGATATGCAAATAAAAGATGTCAATAGAAATTTAAATAACAAGGCACTGTCATACAATGGGGAAAAATACTGAGGCCAAAAGATTAGGTTTCTACTGTTCTTTTTGTCCCTAATTAACTACATGATCTTGGGCTATTCCATTCCTGTCTCTAAACCTCACTTAACTTAGCTATAAAATGATAAGGTTGGGTTAAACGATTATCTTAAGGTTTAGTTGTTTAATTGTTTTCAGTCATGTCTTTGTGACCCCTTTTGAGGTTTTCTTGGCAAAGATACTGAAGTAGTTTGCCATTTCCTTCTCCAGCTCATTTTACAGATGAGGAAATTGAAGCAAATAGGGTTAAGTGACTTGCCCAGGGTCACTCAACTAGTATCTGAGGTCATATTTGAACTCAGGTCTTCCTGACTCCAGGCCTCCTGTTTTATCTGCTACACCACCTAGCTGCCAATTATCTTAATACATGATGTTAATATACAGTTATGCCTTCACCATCTCAGGGTGATGGAGTGATGGGACCTGGATCCCTAAAGGCCCTGAATTTTCCCTTACATTTCAGCAGCCCATGGGGATCACTGGCCCACTCTAGACTACCTGCATACATCAAGCACTCCTCAGTCCCACCTGGATCATCTAATTAGCCTACTTGATTTTCCTTTCCCTGTGGCACCTGGCCCACCCCAGACTACTTATCCCTCTTTAATCCCATCCAGATCCTTTCACTGTCCCTTTTGTATGTAAGCATAATCCTCACCCCCATTATGTTGCAGTTTCCCTAAGAATCTGGCTCACTTTATTGGCATTACAATAAACCTTGTCCCTTGACTGGAAGATGGAATGTGTGAATTCATTCTAGGCAGACACTGCCTTGTACCCTGACCTTTCAGGGTTCCCGGCAACCCCAAACGACATCAGGGGGAGTAGGAGTACAGCGCCCCCTTGATTTGGAAGATCCTTGTAAAATGTTTTGGCCCTCCCTTCATACCAGAGAAGAAGTTCAAATTTTTTCTTTTTCTTCTATGGGGTGTTTATACTACCATATTATAAAATTTGGGTTAAGTATTTGGTCATAGGCTCTGTGTCATCTGTGACTTCTGCAAAACTCCCCCCAAAAAATCCAATTTAATTTCTTATGCCGACCTGAGATGTAGCAAAACCTGGATGGGAAAGTTGAGCTGTAGAAGGAATAATCTTAGTTCGTCAAAGTTTACAAAGAGCTTTATATAAATCAGCCCATTTCAATTTCACAACAATCTTGTGAAGTCGGTACTCTGGGCATTATTAGTTCCATTTTACAGATTAAAAGACTGAGGCACACAGAAGTTAAGTGATTTGCATAAAAGTGAGCAATGCAATTCAAATTTAGCTCAGTAATCATGGTGAAGCAGAAAGAGACAGAATCACTAGCTCAGTGGTTAGCGTACTGAGCTTAGGGTCAAGAAGAGCTGAGTTCAAACCCTGACTCAGACACTTACTGGCTGTTACCATAAGCAAGTCACTAAAGTTTTCTCAGCCTCAGTTTCCATACCCATAAAATGAAGGGGTTGGTCTTAATGACTTCTAAGGGTCTCTTCCAGCTCTAAATCTGCTGATGCCTGACCTGGAGTCAGGAAGATCTGAATTCAAATCCAGCCTCAGACCCTAGTTACGTGACCCTGGGCAAGTCATTTAACCTATTTGCCTCAGTTTCCCTATCTGTAAAATGATGATAATAGTAGCACCCATTTCCCAGAGTTGTTGTGAGTATCAAATGAAATAATATTTATAAAATGCTTACCCTAGTTCCTGGCATCTAGTAATCACTAGATAAATGCTTATTATTA